TCATAATCATAATATTATAAATTATCACATAAACAAAATAATTCAATCAAAATAGAGAAAAAAAATTTATTAAAATAAAATTGTATTATGACTGGGAAGACGTACCGTCGTTAGTTCAGAATTGTGAAAATTTCATCAGCGACGGTGAAATCCAACCGTCGTCCTCAAAATTTCATCTTCCCGCAAATTCTTTTCACGTATTTTTCATTCTTTTTAAGAATTTGCCGCTCGCGTTCTTGGAGAAAGAGGAAAACTGACCTTTTTCTCAACCGTGACGCTGTCATTGCGAATTACCGTCAAAGCCACCACCGTCAATTCGAATCTTTACAGGTTTGTCTTCTTAAACCCTGAATCATATCCTGGTTTGGATTTTACTCTGAATTTTGTATTTAATTGGTTTGGATTTTAAGCATCATGTGTTAAATTTCTCTGTTTGAGAGTTAAATTTGTGTAAGAAGGACGTGTCGGATCGAGTTTCTCGATGCTGAAGGGTTGCGGTAGCAAATTCTAGTATAGGACCTTTATTTGAAATCTTGTGTGCTGTTAATTCAATGGTTTTGTCCTGAGTTGATGTCAGGATCGATTTTGTTTTCGGTAATCATGTCTAGCTGCGGCGGTTGCTTTCTCTATTGTGCTTGTTGTTTGATTGAGTCCTTTCCTTGTTTAGGAGTTTAAACTATATTTTTGATACATTGCTTATATTTCAAAACAGGCTTCATAATATACTTGCAATTTAAATCGAAATATTGTTATTTTAGACTAGATCTTCTATAGAATTTTTTTGAGAAAGATATAATTGTTCATAGTAGGCCAAATTAGTGTTGAGATAGAAAAATGCTAAAGTGAGAATCACTGAATTCAACTACATCACAGTGTTGAAATAACGCCTTCCTTGGTTATCCCAAACTCCCTGTATATTTTTCACCCTGGAGCATTAAGTAGTAAGCTCCACAAAACAAAATACTGCCAATTCATGTGGTGTGATATTGAGCCTGATGAAAAACAAATGGATCTGGATTCAGCAGTTGCAGATGATGATAATGAACTTTCTGCAGAGAATTTTGGTAGAAAAGAGGTTATTGGCTCTGGTTCATTAGCTCACCCAGATTTACCAATTCCTGTAAAAGAGAACGAAGATCTGAAAACATGTGATTCTAATCTTGAAAGAAAGAAGTCTGTAGTTGCTGCGAAGTTAAAGAAATCTGTAGTTGCTGCGAAGTTGGATGTGGGCAATGCTAATCCATCCCCATTTGCTTGTGGATCTGATGTGAATGTAAAACTGGACTTTGATTTAAATGAGGGATACCCTGTTGAGGGTGTAGGCTAGTGTGATATTGTTAGACCAGAAGAACCTATCAGTTCATCTGCAGTTCATGCTCCTTGCCCTTTGTCTTTTCCGATTCCGTCCCTCTCTGGGGCCTTCCATGCTTCAATTATAGTGGCTTCTGCTGCCAAAGGACCGGTTGTTACGCCAGAAAATCCATTGCGAAGTAAGGGGGAACTTGGATGGAAAGGGTCAGCTGCTACAAGTGCATTCCGGCCAGCTGAACCTAGGAAAAATACTGAGATGCCATCAAATATTGTTGATATTCCATCGGTTGACGCCACTTCAGTCAAACCAGACCGCGCTCCCTTAGATTTTGATTTAAATGTGGCAGATGAAATCAGTTTTGAGGACGTTGCTTATCGGGGTTCCTTAGAGTCCGGTGCTCATGACCGCAGCTATGTGGGATTTGATCTTGATCTAAACAGGTTGGACGAGACTCCTGAAATTGGATCTTTCTCTATGGTTAAAATGGATATTCCTTTACCAAGTAAACAACCTTCATTGTCCAGTGGTTATCTAATGGTGGAAGTGTCTCAAGAGACTTCGATTTAAATAATGGGCCAGGCCTTGATGAAGTTAGCACTGAAGTCCCCACTCGTACTCTGCAGATGAAAAGTACTATCCCATTTCCTAGTTCTGTTCATGGCACCAGAACAAATAACACAGAATTTGGGAATTATTCTTCATGGTTTCCTCCCGGCAATTCGTATTCTGCAATTACTGATAGATTCTGTTACAAACATCCCTCATGGCAATAGGATGATGGCTCTTCAAAGCAATTTATTTAAGATAGTCCAAAGGTGGAAGTAGTAGCTTTTCTTTCTACTACACCCCTCACAACCTATAATCCAAAAATGCTAAGCAAATTATATTAATCATGATTTGGATAATGGTATATGACATGTATTGCTGTGAAATGAAATTTACCTGATGTTCAAGTCCACACAACCTAAAAGCACTTGAAGCAAGTATAAGTCAACTCAAATCCTCTAAACTAAAGTGAATTTTTTGCAAACTTTGTGTTCTCATTTTCAATTTTGATTTGGTCTAATGGTCCAGAGGAAGTGAGTGGTTATGGGATGTCATCTGTCAATGAAATCCATCCTTTTGTAAACATATTTGGGTTGGATCCAAATGTTTGGCAAGGTTTTGTTTTATTGCATCATTGTATGACGGTACTAATACTATCACCCCTTCTTCAATACAATGAAGAAATTGGACCTAAATTGAGAAACTTGATCAAAATAACTGGATGATTGGTTAATCACAAAAACTAAATATCGAACACCACAGTATCCTGTGATGAATAAATCTTCTTCATATATGGAAGAATATGAACAAAAAATTGAACATTATTTATTTGTAACTTTCTTGTTTTGCTATTATACACTTGATGCAGCACATAGTTTTTTTCATGCATACATAAAACTTTAAAAGTCTCAGCCTCTCAGCTTGTTGAGAGTTACTGAGTTACATGTAAAATACTTCAGTTGTGAAGTTAGCATAAAATCTCATAACAATAACACAATAAAATTAAAAGCTTCTCAGAATAGCATTTGGCTTTTTCTGACTGCGACTATACCAAGACAGAAGAAACTTTCCATTGTATGAACTTGATCTCTTCATTGGACTAGCAACACCCTGCAAATATCTTGTTGACCTAAAAGAAAAGCTACTACTTCCACCTTTAGATGTAGTTGCCGAATTCTCACTTCCATTAACCTTCGAAACACTATCATCCAAAAATGCTAAGCAAATTATATTAATCATGATTTGGATAATGGTATATGACATGTATTGCTGTGAAATGAAATTTACCTGATGTTCAAGTCCACTATACTCGCCTTCTGTATTTTCACGGATTGTGATGAGGTCAACATCATCATATCGAGTTTTGTATCCAGAAAGGCTGTAGCAAGGTCGAACATTGGCATATAGAAATAATTGACAGAGCATTACTTTTGATTCTGCATTGCAATTCAACTTCAGTAAACTACGTAGTGCTTACGTAGTGCTCTTCCCATTCTATTGGTGCTTCAGTCCCTACGTAGTGCTCTTCCCATTCTATTGGTGCTTCAGCCGCTTGGAATATCTAATTATTGCAATAGAAATAATTGACAGAGCATTACTTTTGATTCTGCATTGCAATTCAACTTCAGTAAACTACGTAGTGCTTACGTAGTGCTCTTCCCATTCTATTGGTGCTTCAGTCCCTACGTAGTGCTCTTCCCATTCTATTGGTGCTTCAGCCGCTTGGAATATCTAATTATTGCAATAGAAATAATTGACAGAGCATTACTTTTGATTCTGCATTGCAATTCAACTTCAGTAAACTACGTAGTGCTTACGTAGTGCTCTTCCCATTCTATTGGTGCTTCAGTCCCTACGTAGTGCTCTTCCCATTCTATTGGTGCTTCAGCCGCTTGGAATATCTAATTATTGCAATAGAAATAATTGACAGAGCATTACTTTTGATTCTGCATTGCAATTCAACTTCAGTAAACTACGTAGTGCTTACGTAGTGCTCTTCCCATTCTATTGGTGCTTCAGTCCCTACGTAGTGCTCTTCCCATTCTATTGGTGCTTCAGCCGCTTGGAATATCTAATTATTGCAATAGAAATAATTGACAGAGCATTACTTTTGATTCTGCATTGCAATTCAACTTCAGTAAACTACGTTCACCTGCCTGAAATATAGATTAATCATGAGAAAACAATTTCCAAAACAATCAACTTCCAAAAAGTTTCTTTTAAACATGTAGAACAACAAAGAAAAGAATTACTGGGTCGTCTTCAAATAACTTTGCCAGGCAATCGTGATTGACTTTGTTACTGAGCCTCTGCAAGGGTTACAAGTAAGCAAATATTATTAGTAATTAGCTTTATATAAATAATTTTAGAAGATGTTATACCTATGATTAAAATAGCTAACATTCATCGTACATTGCTTACTGAACTTACCAGTACAACTATTGTATATAACAATAAATCAAAAAGAACAAACACTTATGAATGTAACCTCACCACTATCTCAAATGGACTCAAAAAAGAAGCAACGACTAGAATGCTTAACAAGCACGTGAATTCTAAGACAAAGCTTAAGGCATTGTTGGTATTCCAAAATTATTCAGTGTCTAGAAAGATCCATGAAGAGTCCTTTTAAATTTATAGATATTTTGGAAGAAGGTAAATTAGGGAATAGGATATGATAGAAATAATATCCTGTTAATGTAACTTATTAAATTGTTTTTGCAGATTATAATTTATTTGTTGACAATGATGTAAAAAATAATATTAATAATTTAGTACTACATTATTTTTAAGTGCTAGCTCAATTGGCAAAAGCTTTATAAGGCTTAGAAGTCAGTGGTTTTGCCAAAGGTCTGCCTGTTAATGTAACTTATTAAATTGTTTTTGCAGATTATAATTTATTTGTTGACAATGATGTAAAAAATAATTTATTAATGTACTTACATTGATATCCTGTTTAAAATTAAATGTATGTCTTGGGTTCATTTTGGTTAGTTTGTGATTATGAGACTAGAGTGTGATTTTTGTCTTTTAATGACATCTGATTCTATTGCTGTAAATATTTGTATTTAGAGTGTTTTTTTTTTATAGGATTTGCTTTGAACTTTATTCTTGTATCTATCTATGTCTATTTTTTGAAGAAATGGATAAGTCATGGATTACTAAGCCACAATCATCGATTGCATATCAGCAAGGGATAAAAGAATTTATTGATTTTGCATTTAAAGGTGCAAAAGAAAATGACGTAGTAATATGCCCTTGCAAACACTGCGGTTTCAAAAAATCAAAGAGTAGGAGTGACATGTTCGACCACTTAATGTGGTCACCATTTCCGCAGGGATACACCATGTGGATTCATCATGGAGAGTCCTTTGTTGTACCTAGTACTATCTCCCCTAGTACTACTCAAAATATGGTTGAAGATACTATCATTTTCGAAGATCCTATTCATAACATGATCAATGATGCATTTGGAGTTGATATGAATCATGCTAATGAAATACCATCCGCGTCAAATTTAGAGATTGGCCAAGAAGATTATGTGATGCTAAGTGCAACTCAGGAAAGAAACGAAGCCAAAGAGTACTATGAATTGACTAGAGAAGGAGAACAACCTTTGTATGAAGGGTGTAGATAATATTCAAGACTATCGTTTTTGGTTAAGTTGTACCATATAAAGTGTTTATGTGGATTGAGTGAGAAGGCAATGACAATGATTTTAGAGTTAATTAAAGATGCATTTGAATATGCAAACATTCCAGGTTCGTTCCATGAAGCCAAGAAATCAATCACAAAACTTGGTTTGAATTATGTAAAGATACCTGCATGTCCAAACGGTTGTATGCTTTATTGGGGAGAAGATGAAGAAAGGGAGACTTGCAAAAATTGCAACACGTCAAAATGGAAAACAAATGAAGCGGTCTTTGTTAACAAGAAAAAGAAAAAAATTCCTGCCAAGGTTCTTCGTTATTTTCCATTAAAACCTCGATTACAGAGATTATTTTTGTCATCAAAGACGGCAGAGGATATGAGATGGCACGCAACAGATGCTAACAACGATGGAATGTTGAGGCATCCTAGAGATTCAGAAGCTTGGAAGAAATTTGACTTGACACATACTTGGTTTTCATCAGATCCGCGAAATGTGCGTCTTGCATTGGCTAGTGATGGTTTTAATCCTTTTGGTGTGATGAGTACAAACAATAGTATTTGGCCAGTTGTTCTCATTCCATATAACACTCCTCCATGGGTTTGCATGAAACAAACATCATTTATAATGTCGATGATAATTCCTGGAAAAGAAGCACCAGGAAATAATATTGATGTCTACTTACAACCCTTAGTCAAAGAGCTGAAAGAGTTATGGGAAAATGGCGTGGATACATACGATTCTTTCAAGAAAGAGATGTTCAAGTTGCATGCAAATTTGATGTGGACGATTAGTGACTTTCCAGGTATGGGCGCACTTTCTGGGTGGAACACATACACAGGGCTTGCTTGCCCATCGTGTAACTTTCAAACTACACCCCTTCGTCTTAAAGCTAGCCGTAAATGGTGTTTTATGGGTCATCGTCGTTTCCTTGACCGGAGACACAGGTTTAGATTGAACAAGATCCGCTTTAATGGTGAACAAGAAATACGGAGTCCACCGAGAACATTATCTGGACATGAAGTTTTTGAACAGGTTAAAGATATTGAAGTCATCTTTGGTAAAAAGTCAGTGAAAGAAAAATCACTAAAAAAAACATTTGAGGGACAACCTATAGAAGGTGATAGTACACAGTGTGATCCTACACTAGGTCATCCTCAACAATGGAGAAAAAAGAGCATATTTTTTGAACTTCCGTATTGGAAGGATAATCTTCTGCGCCATAATCTTGATCCAATGCATATTGAGAAAAATGTGTGTGATAATGTCCTATTTACTTTACTAAATGATAGGCAAAAAAGTAAAGACAATTCTAAAGCTAGAGATGACCTTCAAAACATGGGTATAAGACCTGATCTTTGGCCTGATGAAAATGGTAGAATTTCTCCGGCAACCTTTACTTTAATGGGTAAAGATAAAAGGAATTTTTTAACAACTTTAAGGAATATTAGGGTGCCTGATGGTTATTCGAGCAACATTTCTAGATGCATTGATTTAGTAAATCTCAAGGTGAATGGAATGATGAAGAGTCATGATTGTCATATATTAATGGAACAACTCCTACCATTAGCCATTCGCAACACATTACCTCATGAGATTTCAGCAGTTTTGATTGAGTTGTGCTCATTCTTTAGACAATTATGTGCCAAGGTATTGAAAATTGAAGAATTGGAAAAATTGCAAAACCAAATTGTCCTTACTTTATGCCACATGGAAATGTTATTTCCTCCCTCGTTCTTCACGGTTATGGTTCACTTGGTTGTTCACCTTGTTGAAGAAGTTAAACTTGGAGGTCCTGTTCATTATCGATGGATGTATCCTGTTGAAAGGTAAACTATGTGATTTTATTTTATTGTTACTAACTAATAAAGTAGAAAGATTTTTTTAACCGATAGTATTGTGGTTCAATAATAGATACTTGGGAAAACTTAAATCGCATGTACGTAATAAGGCAAATCCAGAAGGGTCTATTGCAGAAGGATACCGTTTTGAAGAGATTCTTACATTTTGTTCAAGATATCTAGAAAATATTGAAACTAGATGGAATCAACCTGGACGTGTAGATGATGACCCTATTGGTGATATCCAAACAGGATCACGTGTAGCCGAATTATTTCCTATATTTGGAAAACCCGTGGGTGGATCTTCTTATTACACCCTAACACCAATTGAAAAGTTGCAGGCTCATAGACACATTTTAACGAATTGTCCAATAGTTGACGACTATCTAAAGTAAGTAGGTTTATGCCATTTAAGTAGTTTCATTTGCATTATTAATACTTTTTTTTACATCTAATATCAAATAACCAAATAGGCAGTTCCGAAGTATTACTCAGAATCAACTGAAGCGCAGTCAAAGAAGTGCTGCTGAGATAGATAAGAAGGTTCATAGAGAATTTGCTCACTGGTTCCGCAATCGAGTGAGTTTTTGTACAAAAATAGATGTTTTAATTGAATTGGATTTTAATAATAACAAGACTAATTAGATGTTGTATCGTGTATAGATTTGCAACAATCTTGACAACATTCATGGACCAGATAAAGATGTTCTCATTAGCCTTGCTTATGGCCCTTTTGATAAAGTTAAAAGATTTACTGCGTTCAATGTCAATGGATTCAAATTTCGAACATTGGAACGAGATAATCTTTTAAAAACTCAAAATAGTGGCGTTTTTGGCTTGTTTGGGACGCGAAGTTATTCAAGCAATAGTGATACCCAAATGAGATTTGGAGGGGTCCCTTACTATGGAAGATTGGTAGACATTATTGTGCTTTCCTACGATGGCTTCACAGTGCCCATGTTTAAATGTGAATGGGCTAATACCACAAACCCAAGAGGCATTAAGATAGATAAGTTGGGTTTTACTTCTATAAACTTTACAAAACTACTACATTCTGGGGAACATGAAGATAATGAGCCGTACATTCAAGCGTCAGAAACTCAGATGGTTTTTTATGTGGATGATGAGAATGAACAAGGGTGGAGCATACCTGTTCATTTGAAGCCAAGAGACTTGTATGACATGGGTGGAAATGATGAAATTATGTCACCCATTGAGCCATATCCATCACAAAATTTGGAACAAATTTTTTCGAATGATGATATTGGAACTTCATCAGCAAATGATAACAATAATAACATATAGTTTTTTTATTGATAAGAAATTTAGTTTGTTGCTATAATTAACATTATTACTTTATGTTTTTTTGTTGTTTATCCATAATTAATGCGTGAGATGACATTACTATTCTATATTTTATTGCATAAATTATTCTTTTAATTTATTGTGTTTGCGTTATGTTTATTAAATTTATAGTCACTAATATAAAATTTTGATGTTTACTATTATTAGTGTATTGTCTTTTTAATACATATACTTGCAGTTGAAGCCTTTTGTGAGACAATGATTTCATCATATGAGGAAATTCGCCTCAAAAGGATTGCAGAGAATAAGAAAAAGCTAGAGGCTCTCAATCTTCCAAAGCTCTCTCAATCCCTTCACAAAACATCTTCGTCTTCTTCCAAACCATCACCGGTTAGTAATAAATTCTCAATACTAGTCTATAAAAATTAATTGTATTAATTGTTGATTGATATTCACTGATGTATTTTATTTAGCCTGTGAAGGGTCGTCCGAGGTTTGTACAACCTGGAGAGCTTGAAGTAAACAAGAAGCGCCTACGTTCAGCTGCAATGTGCAAATCATCAATAATCCATCCGCCAATCAAAACTACAATAAATCTTCCGCCAATCCAAACTAAAATTACCCCTCTGCCAATTGAAACTACAATAACGCATTTGCCAATCCAAACTACAAAAGATGTTGTGGTAGAAGATGAGGATGAAGATGTTGTGGTAGGAGATGAGCCCGAAGATGACTTGGTAGGAGATGAGGCTGAAGATGTTGTGGTAGGAGATGAGGCTGAAGATGTTGTGGTAGAAGATGTGACTGAAGATGTCGTAAAAGTGGCTAAATCTGTGTATTGGGATGTAAATGTCATTAGTAAGTAATTTAAGGTTAAAGTATTTGTAAATAATTTAATTTTTTTTTACATAGTTAAGTTATGACATTAATTTGTTTACTTGTTTATGTGATAGATGAGGAAGGTTATGTTTCAAATACACGTTTATGTGTGAAAGACTTGGTTGCAAAATCAAAGTCTGATGGAACATGGATAATACTTGAATTTGATAAGGATCATTGTGCAATAGGACCAGCTTCTGGTTTGTTAGCAGGGTATTTGGGTATAATTATTAGAATGTTTAAAGACTTTCCCATAATGTTCGAGAGTTGGAAGGATATTCCAGCGGATACAAAAACAAAGTTTTATGATTCAAAGATAAAGGTATCATTAATAAACAATTACATATTTTTTAAATTAATTTCAAGGTGATTATTATTTGCTTTGTTAACTAATTTTTATTTTTATGGTTAGCTCCACTTTCTTGTTGATGATGGGCGTGACAAAGAATTCATACTTGCTTCTGCTGCAAAGAAATGGAAGGATGGACGACATCAATTGTTTCGCAAATTTTATAAATGGGATCTCACTTTGGAGGAAAATCTTCAAAATTATCCAATATGCAGAGGCATTCTGGAAAATGATTGGGCTGTTTTTGTTCAATATAGGCGGAAAGAAAAAACACAGGTAACATTAATGCTTTTATTTGTTAGATGTATCTGTTTTGTATGTTATCCCTATCTATAACGCATGTTTTTAATTATTAACTATGTAGAAAATAGCTCAAAAAAATGCCCAAAATAGAGCAAAATTGAAGACTCCACATACACTCGGATCTAAGTCGCTTGCAAGGAAGAAACATGAGTTGGTATGTCTAAATTTATATAGATTTGAATGTATTACTGATGGTAAAAATAATTAATATATTTTCTTATTTGTAGGAATCGAGAGATGGACGAACATATAGTAGAGGAGAAATGTATGCAGTTTCTCATAAAAAGTCTGACGGGTCTTTTGTCAGCGAA